ACCCTAAAGATATTCCCCTTTACATCAAATAAATCGAATGGAATTTAAAAACCGTACAAAAATAAAAGGCTAAAACCAGACTTAATTCAGTAACATTCGTGGAGGTCGAGTTCGTGACCATGACTTCTCGGCTATTTCTTAGCCGAGAAGTGATGGTCACGAACTCGTGGCTAGCTTTGTCCAGTCGAGGATTCGAAACCTAATGTCGGTGAAGATCCACCGTATAGGGAGGCTGATGTACATTAAATCTGACGATGTTCAAAATCCCTTTGCCGTAATGTGGAAGTTAGATGGGTTAGGTTCCAGCTCGGGTTTCATCCTCTTTACTTGAGTGTGACTCAAACTTCCGAGATCCGTCGCCAATAGCTTTAAGGTATGTGACTACCTTCAAAGCACTTTTTAAAAAATATATATTGTGACGGATCTATACGCGGATCTACTAACCCCTTCAGGACTCTTTAAGGAAAATATTTAATTCAACCAACTTTCACCGAGTGAAGAAAGCGTGATTATGCAAATTAAGTATATTATATAAATTCTGTATTCGCGAGTTTGAAGTGTTAGTTGGTGAGTGAAGGATCGTGAAATGATTAAGTGCAATAGGAGGTTATCAATTGAAGATTTCTAAGAGAGGACCAATCGACGGGTATTAAATCCGGATAAGGATCTCATTCAAGGACTCAAGTGTAGGACTCGACTTCAGAAAAGTACAGGTGTCGTGATCCTTATTTAAATAGAAGTTTAGCTTATTAGTGCGCGATGTAGTTTATATTGAGCTTGTTTAAGTTATCGTGGAATCAGTTAAGGGTCCGTATTATTATTATTATCCCCAAGCTACTGAGTCTTACCTCCACACTCTGCTATCTGATCTGTTATCTTAATTAGAGTATTGTGTCTGCTTGATATTTTTGGTGACAGTAAAATAGAGTGAATCCATATCTGTTAATTATTCAGTTCCTCCCACACACCTAGCCGGTCCGAGGGTAGAGAAAGGGGGTTCAGAGTCGAGCAGGAATCCACAGGCATTACAATATGAATTTTCAACTAAATAAACACTTTTTTAAATTTGAAATGGGGCTTAAAACTAGGAATTCTGTACAATTTCCCCAAAATTAAAAATAATTTGGAATATATTGGGAATTTTGAGTGAAATTTTAGAGAAAAATGGCAGACCTTGTGTTTTGAAAATTCTAATTAATATATTCGAATAAATTTTATTCAGTACATAAATAACATCATTATCTGTGCTTATAGCTGTAAGATTTGTAATACTTTTGAAAGGTTTTTGAAATGTGTCATTTTTTATGCAAGAACTCCATTTTTTACAAAAAACTAATGCTATCTTCTTACAAGAATTGCAATAAAATACATAAATATATGCACAGAGATTAGATTATAGTCTATACTGGAGATAAAATTAAATAAAACATTTTCTGAAAATTTCAATTCAATATCTTAAAAAGAAATTCTGTAGTGAACTTTACTGTGAATCAAAAAGTTGAAAAACATAGTTTCTCAGTAAAAGCTTTTAGAGATTTTAATACCGTATAAAAAAAAATTTCTACTATTTGTATCTTTTTTAAACTCACCATATCTATAGGGTAAAGATCTCTTTAGCTTCATGTTTAAGTAATTCTGACTTTTTAAAAAAACCTTTTGGTGTTTTCTGGACAGTTTTATAGACTATAACAATTGTCGTTTTCAGCGAAATTTTGATGAAAAATTGCTGTTACACAAAATTCTAATGAATGTATTCAAATAATATTTATACAGTACGTGAATAACATCTTTATATGCGTTAGGAATTAAAATATTTGAATACTTTTGAAAGTTTTTTAAATATGCCAAGTTTTATGCAAAAACTCGATTTTTTAAAAAATTAATGATTTTCTTTCATAAAAAAGCAATAAAAGACATAAATATATACACAGAGATTAGATTCAGATTCATAACACAGATAGAACTCTCTAAAACATATCCTGAAAATTTCAATTCAATATGTTAAAAATATTTTCTGTAGGGATCTACTTCCGATTTTGTAAACTTCATTTCCAGTTTATTAATTATGCTAAAACTTTGCTTCTAAATATCGTAGAAACAAAAATAGTGTTTTTGGAACCTTAAATATATGGGCTTTAAAATAAAAGCATAAAAGAAACTTCGAAAATTTTCGCCAAAACGGCGAATTTTTTGGATAGTCACATACTTCAATATTGTTTTATAATAAGACTTTATTAAACTTTCACTCACTTCCCTTGTCAGTTGACTGTCATTGATATATAAAAACTCTTTTCTGTTTGCTCATTGTCCGTGTTAAATCAAATATAAATTAATAAACAAATATTATATAATGCACGTTCCTGAAAATAATCTTTTAGGTTCGGCCTTGATGGGCGATTTACTATCCACCTTACCGTCCAGATTCCAGTGCGTGGGTGTGGGAAAGAACTTCACACACTTCCTGCTCTTCTCCCGGATTCACCCAGACAAGCCACACCCTCTGATGCCGGACGACCATGAACTGCTGGTCAAATCTGACTACGACTCTTCCGTTCCCACAAAGATAATCATACACGGATTCGTGGACAACATCCACTTGAGCGACTGGATGCAGGTAATGCTTAGCTTTAAATAAGGTTATAATACAGCAAATAATATTTTTGTTATGACAATATACACCTCTTTTTTAAAGAGCCGCAGAGTGGAAGTTTGGAAAGGGGGATGCTAGCTCCGGTGCCGTCCTTGTTACTTGATCACAGTTTAAGGCAGTGATACTCAATCTGCGGCCCACGGGTCGCATGTAGCCCACAGACCTTTTCTGAGTGGCCCTCCGATCATCCAGAGTGGGGTGATCAGAGGGCTCCCAGCTCTTAGTGCAATGGGAGTTCTCTTTCAAAATTAGGACGAAACAGAGCCAAAATGTACTGTCATCTGCATGGTGCTCAAAGCTACGGCTAACAATAGACGTAAATCTAGCCCTTTGCCACGATGAATTTCGTGGGCATTGATTTGATGTTACTGTTGATCAGGTGTGATACAACAACATAAAATATTTTTTCTTATTATTTTTATCAATAAAATATAGAACGACCACATTCTTTTTACAATTATACTTATTTAATTAAAGAAACTACATTTTTTAACAATGATTTCTATTAATAAGACAGCCTTCTTTATAGGATACAGATTTTGATAATGTATTTTACTTCCCCCCTCTCTTAGCGCATGAAAACTCGATTTCTGAGTGAGGGTGACTACAACGTGATTCTTGTGGACTGGTCTTGTGGCAACGAGTTCCCTTACTTCCAGGCCATCCAGAACTCCAAGATCGTAGCAGATGAACTGAAGAAACTCATAAATTTCCTGAGGGTATGTTATGATAAGACATTTGTTTGAATAACCCCTATAAAAGTATAAGCTTTACATTTTATAACTTATAAATAACCCTATTTAAACGACTTAAATCCGAAATCTCAGGGGAATTTCTCAGAATAGAAGCACCCGTATGAAACACAACAACTAAAGGGGCTAGTGACGTAACGTACACCCCCTAAACCCGCGCATCGCGGAGGGGGCCCCAAAATCTGACTGACGTTTAGTATGTATTAGAGATTGGGGTCCAAAACCTGACTTTGCAGGGAGGGGGTCCCAAACATTCTCCATTACGCCACTGGAAGGGGCTGTCTCTGCTCTGTTAAATCCTCACTTTGAGACTGAGGATTAGCCGAGTGGTCACGGTCGCGAACTCGTGGCCAGTATTGGTGGCCGTGTTAGCCTAGGGGTCAAGGTAACGGACTCGTGGCTGGGGCGAATCATGAGTTCGAGCCCAGTACCACTGAAGATCCACCGTGTAAAGGAGCGATGCACGTAAAATCTGTCGAGAGCTCAAACGTCCTCCTGTTGGTGTTGCGTGGTAGTTAGGAGAGGGAGGTGCCAGCTCAGGTGTCATCCTCGTCACTTGACCATGGTTCAAAATTACGAGGTGTCGCTTAAAGCCCTCGTGTAGCTGAACAGTGCGAGGTTAATATTCACTCACTCGTGGCCAGCGTTGTTGAGTCGCGAGCTCGTTACCTAGTACCAATGAAGATCCACCATGCACGTTAAATGTGTCGAGGCTCAAATTCGTGGATGTTTGGAGAAGGGGTGCAAGCTCAGGTGTCGTCCTTGTCACATGATCAGGGTTCAAAATTGCAAGGTTCAACGCCAATAGCCTTCGTGTTGCCTTAGAGTGTGACGTAAATAAAAATCAAATCACAATCCTCAAGATTGTCGGGTGTGGAAGTTTAGAGAATCCGATGTCAGCTAAGGTGTCACCTGATCATTGTACAAAATTTCGAGGTCCGTGACGAAAAGCCACCGTGTTGCTGCTAAGGATGACTTTATTACATACCGTATAATTCGGCGTATAACGTGCATTTTTAAGACAAAAATTAAGATCGAAATTTATCGAAGATCGTTATTCGCCGAGTATAAAAATGATAGCTTTAAAAACTTTAAAAAAAAAGATATGAGGATAAAAAAAAAATTAGACTTCGACATATATCGAAACGCTGTTTATTTAAAAGAAATGACACGAGAATGTAGTTTTAGAAGTATGCAATTTTTTCAAAAGTCTGGGATAATACGTCGAATTAATACTTTATAGCATAAGAGCTTTGCACTCGTACGTTTCTAGTTTCTTCGTATACAAATAATATTAAAAAAAAATTTTTTTTTCAAAAAATCAAATCCTATTAAGGTCAACAAAAAGAAATTTTTTATTTTGGTTACTTTTTATTAAATAATTGTAAGTAATATATAAATATGTATAAACATATGGTACAATCCAATTTAAGTGGCAAAATAGAAAGCGATTTTCCTTGCAATTTTTCATTTTCCTTTCTATATAGGGTGTTGGACTATTATTTTTGTTTGTCGCTATTTATTCATTAGTTAAAGTTAATTATTCCAATAAAATAGTATAGTAAAAAAGAAATCACACACATTCTCAAAAATTAGGCCGTCCCAGTCGGAATTCGAACCCATGACCTTTGGATTAGAGGTCCAATTCGTTATCCATTGCGGTACAACGAGCTATTTTCTTTTTTATATATGATGTTGGACTATTATTTTTGTTTGTTACTATTTATTCATTAATTAAATATAATCAATGAATTAATATTTGGAAAAAAAACTGCATTAACATCAAGTGTCATCCACTACAAGTTTTAAAGAATGTATTTGAACTTGATTGGATGAATAAATAATTTTATTAACGGATTGAGAATTTGAACAAGATATATATAGGGAGAGTGTGTGAACTTATAGTAGGAATTTAAAAAAAAAGATTATAGCGATTATACCTAAAAATTAAAAAAGTGCGGCTTGAAAGTATGGGAACGCGTTATATGCCGGATTTTATGGTAATCAGTTAACCTATGTTAAGGAATGTGATCCGAAAATGGAATATGTGTAACGCATTTTTTTCCTGGCATCAGCGCATATATTTTCTAAAGTTTAAAATTCTATTTAATCCCCTCAACTCTCAGGGTTTATCTTAAGGTTAAGTCAGAATTTACAATTCCAAGACAGGTGTCCACGAGCTATTTTGTCCTGGGGTTTGATGTTTTGGGCTAACACGAGCGGGATACGTGACCCTGGAATGCTCTAGCGATCTTTATCTTTCTTTCGATCCTTCTTAACATTCCTTCTTTTCTCGTTTATGCATTTGCAAAATTTTGTATCACGATCAATAATACACATTTTTTTCTTAAATAAAAACGAGTATTTGACGAAACTTATCCTAAATATATTTACGCCAATAACGCCAAAAAAAATCCTTACTACTCCACAATTCATTTTTGTTATAACCAATTCTATTTTCTCCTATACAAAATTAGTCTTTATATTTCGTCTACTATAACATGCGACTACAAAATTAATATTGGCGAATTAAAATACGTAATTTTTAGAGTATTATAACATTTTTTACTAGGAGGTAATAAATACGTAAAGAGAGTATAAAACAAGACGAATTTATATCATTTCTGTTCAATTTATCAGCGATAGAATGTGTGTTCAGTTTTGGATACTTAATTCGAAGACTAGGAATTAAAATTAGAATATTTTAGATAGAAAAATGGTTAACATCAATTTCTTTTTCGCTTCCCCTTTTTTTCTTTCTAATTCTAGTTAAAAACTAATTAAATTCTTTTTGCAGGACTCCCGCGGTGCGGAACCCGGCGACTTCCACCTGATCGGGCACAGCTTAGGCAGCCATATTGCGGGGCTGGTGGGCCATGGAGTACCACATCTGGGAAGGATTTCCGGTAAGTTTCCACTCTCTCCATTGCTCTCAAAAGTTTTTTTTAGAAATGCATCTGCTCTTCCCTCTCCCCTCCATTGCATTGGTTACTTTTCCCCCGTATCCGCACTTGTCAATTACGGGGGCAGAAGGGCGTAGAACCGGCTCGGCCCTATCTAGGCGTGCTATGTTTTCAGAATGCGGGTTTGCGCGGGAAAACAGGTCGAACGAAAAGCGAAGTGGGATCGAAACGAAATCTTCCATATCTGTTTGTTTTATGATGGTTGTTGTAAGTGATGCAGTCGATGAGGGAATGTTCTGGGAGGTCCATATAACCTCAATATTTATTTGCATAATTTTAATATAATGGATATAAGGAAACACTTTTAGTTATTTAAATTACCAATCATTCATTGAATGTTTTTTAGAGTACGGTAAAAATTATTGAAATTATCAGAGCTCACAGATCGCGACATTATATTATTTATATATTTTAGTTTTTCTTTTCTTCTAAAAAGACGAGAACTTTTATACTGGTTTTGATGATATGAGCAATTATAAGTTTCGAATGTCTTTATTGATTACTATATTCCATTAAACGCAAATTAAATTACTTGAGAAGGTATGAAATACAAATGTAATTATACACGATCATTTCGTCAAGTGAAATTAGATATCCTCAAACTATTTTCTGGCAACCCCCATGAGTGGCGCTGTAATATACATTTGTTGCATAAATGAAAAGTTCAAAAAATATTAAATACTAGCTGGTATACCAGTTCTTTACATGGGTGAATTGAACAGTTAAACAATACAGATTAAAGGATAAAGTAGTTTTTAATGAGTTAATTTTAAGTGAATTGCAAATTAAACAAAACAAAAAAAGCTTTTTGCTTAGCTTAGCCGAACAAAAAAAAAATATTTGTTAAATTTTAAGTTTGTAGATCTAATAGCTGATAAAAAGGATTTTTTTTTATTTAAAACGCCCCTTAAGTCCCTTGTGGGTCAATTTTTGAAAACACCTTCCTAAGCTGATCTCTGCTCACTAAAAGTAACACATTGTTATAAATTTTGTGTAATGAACACTTAAAATAGTGTCAAGTTATACCTGGATGTGTAATACGTTAATATTGCTTTCTGTTGTATTTATTTTATGTTAAAATTGTAAAATTCGCAAGCAATGCCTTTTCATACATTATAATGGCGATTCAATAGAAACATACCGAAATGTTTGGTTACCACGTAGGCAACTTGGCGATTGATTGAACGGTGCAGAAGTTGATATGCTGTAGCGCCACCTGGGGGGGAGCTGCACAAATAAGATAGCGCAAAAACCTTCTCCAGAAAAAAAATACATATACATGCCAATTTTCATAGCGATAGGTTAAACGGTGTTGGAGAGAAACGAGGTCATATATACAAACATCTATTTTTATATAGAGAGATTTAAAAATGCAGAAATTTTCGAGAAATTAGATGCAGTAATTTTTATTGGTCTGAAAAGTTATTTATTATGGGGTATATACATTTTTAATGCCATTTGATTGATAGTTAAGAATTTCATTAAATACACCCTAGATATATACATATCGATAAACACAATCTACAAAGGAAACGCTTTATTTTGTTAAATCTAAAATATATATACAGTTACAGTCGGACCTCCCTTTAAAGAAGTAGCTAAATCCCGAAAAAAGTTCGTTCTATGGAAAATTCGTTGAATAGATTCCTCTTTTAATATACTTGAGAATCCACATAAAACAAATTTGAAATTCATAAGCACTACATATTAATTAGAAAGAGTAATTATTCTCACTTTTTTTGAAAACTTATATATATTCATTTTATATATTTTACCGAACAAAAAAAAAATATGTAAGGTTAACAAGAAAAATAAAACAATGTCCAGGAATTGTCCATTGTATTTTCAACTTTAAAAAATAATTTTATATTAAAATTAATGAATTTTTTAACGACGTTTTCTAATTTTTCGCCTGCAAGTAATTTTAAACATACATTCTTTTATAACCAATCATTTTAAGCATACACCACCCCATGCGTTCTAAAATTTATTTACTGATAAAATCTCTTAATTTTACTTGAGCTTCTTTTTGATTGAAAAATTGCGGAAATTTCATTTGCTCTAGGTGAGATAGACACCTGGTAAAACCAGTTCAAGGCCATAAAATGTACTAAAAGATGGAATAATTTGAAAAATGCCCTGAAATATTTTAAAAATAGGGAGGAAAACAATCTAATCACGAGAGGAAAAAGTTCTTTAAATAAAAAATGCTCTTGGAGATGCTAATTGGAGGTGATATTACGAAGAAAATAGTAAAATTTTCTTGGTTCCAGGAAAAAGTTCGCTAAATAGAGAAATTCAGAATATAGAGGTTTGACTATATAATGCTTTTCTCTCGTATATCTATTTCTAATATTTATCTACATCCGTCTCTCTATACAGTAGAATGTCGTTTATCCGAACGTTTATTATCCGGAGCGTCAAATGTCCGGATACGTTTTCGAACAGTTGTTTCGCGTGAGGCCAAAAGTGACGGGAAAACCCAAGGTGAGGGATATTTGGGGAGTTTCAGTTGGGTGATTTGGTAAACATCTGTGCGGAATATTAGGTCAGTTTGTTTCCAAGTGAGGGGGTGTATACGCGCTCTGTTGAGTTTTGTCGATGTAGAAACCTGGACGACATGTGATACAGAAGACTGGATTTCAAATGCTAAAGGATGACGAGATTGTTACTTTCATGCAAGAAGAATCCGGCCCTGTCGACGATGAAACGGAGGAAGACGAGGACAACAACAACGAAAGTAGCAAGGGTTCATCAGATACTGACTCGTTTTTTGCGTTAGAGACAGCTATGGAGTGTTAGGAACAACAATCTGAGTGCTCTCCTACTCAACTGCTGATGCTCAAGAGAATCAGAGACCTTACAGCGAAAAAACGAAGGTTTACAATGGTACAGTGAAAAATAAGTGATTATTTTTCATAATAAAGGTAAAATTGCGACATTTTTGCATCTATTTTGCTTTTTCTTCAAGCACGTTTCCCGCATAGGCTGATTTTCAATATTCGTATAGTGTCCGGTTTCCTATACTGCATAGATCGCTTTCGGTTTTTGGTTATCCGAAAAATCGCGTATCCGAACGGTGTCCGGTCCCAATTGATTCGGATAAACGACATTCTACTTTATATCTACATCTATCTCTATAATAACTACATCTATCTCTATAATAACTACATCTATCTCTCTATAATAACTACATCTATCTCTCTATAATAACTACCTCTATCTCTCTATAATAACTACATCTATCTCTCTATAATAACTACCTCTATCTCTCTATAATAACTACCTCTATCTCTCTATAATAACTACATCTATCTCTCTATAATAACTACCTCTATCTCTCTATAATAACTACTCTATCTCTCTATAATAACTACATCTATCTCTCTATAATAACTACATCTATCTCTCTATAATAACTACCTCTATCTCTCTATAATAACTACATCTATCTCTCTATAATAACTACATCTATCTCTCTATAATAACTACATCTATCTCTCTATAATAACTACATCTATCTCTCTATAATAACTACATCTATCTCTCTATAATAACTACATCTATCTCTCTATAATAACTACATCTATCTCTCTATAATAACTACATCTATCTCTCTATAATAACTACATCTATCTCTCTATATATACAGACTGCTGGCCACACAAAATGCAACACCAAAAAGGACCAGAGATATCACAGCGA